AATTCAATAATTTTCAAGCGTTGTTCGTTCGTAAGTCGATTCAAGGTTAAATTATAGACCAAACTGAACAAGCTTGACAATGACACAAGACACGATTCACGCGTCATCTGTCAAAAACAGTGTTGCCAAAAAGATACTAGCAAAAAAATCACCCATTATTTAGAACATATTCCAAAAATTGTGCACTAAACTTGTTCATTCTAAATTATGTATTGAACGTTAACGTATTTTTTGTACGAAATTAAGCCGATTTCAGTTAGTGAGCTGGAAAGAAGACTAGCAGCGACACCTTCTCTGACCAGAGATCTGATACAGCTTAATGCTTCCAAAACACAGTGTTCTTCTATTCGTCATTGTGTCCGTAGGACCTTTGCTCTTGGTTGAAGTCTTCTAAGTCAGTAAGCCTGTCAGGTCTGGTTGCCCAGATACCAAACAAAGTCATGGAGAAAAAAGGAAAGAAGAAAGGAAGAAAGGAAGGAAGGAGGGAGAGCAAAGAAAAAGAAGTGCGTGAATTTGAGGGGTGCCTTGGCATTGCTAATACGTATTCGGCAATTTGAAATTGATCCTAAAATTAATTTTCGGATTTGTTGTTGAAGAAAAATCATAATTTTGGTTGGACCTAAAGTCGCACGATTTAATTTTGTTCACAGTGCTAGTCGCGGCCTTGTGTGCTTGCGAACTTGCTCGACTGTGTAGTCTACTGAGTCGCGCAACAAAGTGTTGTTATGCGATTCCGCACCACAGTGTTCTACCTTGACTAACAAGAAGCGCTTATCACAGCTGTTTTCCAGTGGTTTTTGATTTGAGAGTGATACGCTCCCGAACTCCCCCAGAAACAATCCATGAGAATACAACATGCAGTGGCACGGTATAGGTGCAGCACTACTGAGTTACTCTGAGTTAATCAGAGTAACTCAACTGGGTCACTGGAAAACAGCTCAGGTTTCGATGGATAACTGCGTTGAAACAATTTTTTGGGGGGAAAGTTTTTATCAAAGGAAAACTCTAAAAGGACTTGAATGTGGAGTTGCACGTTCGTAACCACGAGCTCTTTTTAAAAAACGGAATTCATGTTTCTAGTATAGTATCAAGCATGGTTGTCAAATTTGTTGTCAGTAAAATGGAAACATGTCACATCAAGTGACATCCATGACGTGATGACAGACCGACCCAGAAGCCGATGTTCTTATAAATCAGTTGTAAGTAGAGCTTTGAGAGGATTTTTTTTAAAGATTTTTAATGAGTATTGTGTACACAAGATTCTCTATAGGAATAACTAGTGACCGTAAATAAAAGACAAATGTCTTACATGTATACGTATATGTATACGTGTCGTAGCAAGCAAGATTCAGTCTTAAAACTTTTCTTTAAATTGTTGTGCTGACCAAGCGCATGAAAGGAGTAGCCTTTCTCCGCTTTCGTGCCAAGATGGAACGATTGTAACATACTCCAAAGCTAAGGCGGAAGTTCTTGCTAAAGTTTTTGCTACCAACTCTACCATGGATGTCCTACCCATAGCCCGTGTGCCGTCAATGCCAAAGGTTCTCTATATGCTATTCGGCAAGTAGCCTTCGGGCATGTGGCCGTAAGATGGCTGCACTTATCGCTCGACATCAATAAAGCTTCTGGTCCTGACCTGATTCCTGCTATTGTAAAGAATAGATGTTCAGTGGAGCTGGTTAATTGTGCAGAGCCAAGTACTTTTATCCGCATAGTCTCCTCCCCAGATAAGACTTCGAGTGCTACTCACATGTTCGGGGTGCTGCCGCCCCGACTACATTGTCCATACGAGTATTCGATGCTGCTCAGAAGAGGGCCAAAAGATACTTTTATAACGGACAGTCTTGGAACACTTTCTCACTGAACAGCGGTCGACGATTTTGCTCTCTCCTACCTCCACGACAGAGCCTCCCGACCATGATGCGGTCCCGCATTCGCCACGGTTTTGTTCCAGTTAAGCTAACCTTAGGCAGATCAAAAATCGTATCTCAAAGGTGTGATTAAGTTTCTTATAGCAGTCGCGGTGTCCCGATATTCAGGTTTCTGCCTACGTGTCTTTCTGAGGAGTTCCCGCCACACTGTAAGGTACGAGCAACCCCGCCACCAGTGAATATCGTCAGGTGACAAAGCTGGGTGGCGGAGAGTGTATGTCCGGTCACCTCGTACGAAAGTGGTGCAGGGTGTCAAGTGCGGATCTGCAGGAAGTCCGCGATAAAGAAAGTAGTGGACTACTATCAGAGGTGGTTAGCGAGATGATCCACCGCGAACTGGAACAGGAGGATCACCGCTTGCCAACTCCCAGGTACCTGAGCAACAAGTTCACTGACGGTAATCCTCCTGTTTTGAAGCACGTCGCGTTGGGCAACCTCGATAACCGCCTCCGAGGCTAACGTCGTCCACTCCGATCTTTACCGTGCACTTCCTTTCGATCGGCACGAAACTCTCTGCACTGTCGAACGGACATACAGCTCTGCCAACTGACGATGAATATTCATGGCTGGAGTCCCTTTGGCATGAAAAAAGCGAGTTATGGGGCGAATTTCGCACTCGACGTCATGAACAGTGAGAACCTCCACATCGGACCGTTACTAAAGCAAGAATGAGCGGCACAGCGAACTGCAGCCGGGAGGAATCGGGAGTGGGGATGGAGCTCTTTGGAAACATTATGTTTGGGCTAACCAAATTGGGCACCAGTAGAACAGTAATAATCTCTACCATGATATTACCACTCTTCTTCCAATGTATGCAGTTACAACCATATCTAAACCGCTTACGGTCGTTCTTATACTGACAAAACGCAGTTTTCTTAATATGAGCTGCAAGTGTCCAATACAATGGTTTATCCAAACCGCTCGAAGAGTGTGAATCTTCAAAATGTCGTTTACAATGTTATTATGTATGTATGTGGAGACGCCATGAAATATGCTTCATCAATTAGACTCATATTTCCTGTGGACCTGAGACTAGTGATGTACAAAACCGCACATCTCACGCACATTCAAACATCAACACGGTGATTGCATGATGCCATTCACCGTGGCCGTGAAGAACCTAGTTCCCGATATCGTAATCGCGTCACGATTTTGGTAACAGTGGTAATACGTTAGATAGAAATAATAAATTACAATTCGTGAAATATACTGTGATAATATATGAGAGCTTTAGAAGAACAATTTCCAATAATAAAAATGCTCAATTCTTCCTGGACTGTGACTAAATAAATTACTGCTTGACAAGAAAATACATTTTGATGTTGATGCTCTTAAAGTCGAGCTTTTAAATCTATGTCGCCGTAATAAACATCAATCTTGTGACGTCCATATCTATTAAAATATTTAACAATCTACATCAAGGTGCACACATAGAAAATTGGGAATTACAAATTTTCAAAATTGTTTTAGTAAAAGTACGAATTATTGGATTTCTCTGCCAGAGTCATCTGAACTCTCTCCCAAGTGAATGATTATATTAGTCTGCTCACTGTTAAATACTTGATGCTTGTCCCAATCGTTTTCAATCAAGTCCTCAGTATGTTTCACACACATGGCTCAAACTGTAGAAGTCACCTTCGCTAGAGCATCGTTCCAAGATTTCAAAACTTCTTTGTCACCATAGCCATTTTCCTCAATAAGACGATCATAGTGTTTGGCTATTCCTCAGACTAACTCAATAGGGTTGTATTGAGTAATGTAATGGTAAGGGGAGAGCGGCAAAACTTGATATCTATGTTCATGTAATATTTGTTCTACGATATATCTTCTAGCAGATGATTTATTGAGGCGACATAGACTTAAAAGCTCGAGTTTAAAAGCGTCATCTTCAAAATATATCCTTTAACATTGATGTACTGTACTGTAGCAGCCATTGCTTCAATTGCATCTCACTCCAACTGAAATTGGGATTCTTTTCTGTTAAGGCATTATTATAGAAGGCATTATCCATGGCTCTTGTAATGCTGGTATCAACTTCTCACATACCAATTTTCTGGAAAAATGTTTATCTATGGAATCATGGTATCAGCACTTTGTATTTTGTAGCAAATAGCAATGCAGTATCTCTAAAAAAACCGTTTTTGGTCCCAACATGGAGAACAACATACCGCTTTCCGGTACCCTGATGGCCGCTTTTCAAACTCTTTAGGTTTTTGTCTTGTCAAACTCGTTTTAGCGACCCTTTGGCAAATATTCAAGTTATTCATATAATGTCTCATAAAATAGAAACAATCTCTGATTTTTCGCACAAGAGTCGGCGGTTATCTTTTGTCTTGTAGGAAAAACTGCAAGTTTCAATAGACGCCTTAAACTTGAATCCGAGGCGTCGTATATGTACCTTTTTTTAAGCTCCTGATTGAGCGCAGAGGTTGTCCTTTACTGCTCATATCGTAGAAAGTATTCCTAATTTCTGTTTTGACGGCATCATTTACATAATCGGTCTTGCATTTTTTGATTTTGTGTGTTTTCCCAAGTGTTACTATGAGCAAACCTTTCTTATTTTCTGATTTTATTCGCTGATCACTGCGCAGACTAATATTCAACGCATCTGCTACTCTCTCCAGTAGGTACGCATGTGGGTTGCCGGGGACCGATGTTTCCATTCCCTTCCTGGAAATACTCTAATAAATTTAGCACGAGCTGTCGTCCTTGTCATAATTTTATATTGAAGATTGATAACAGGACAACTCAAATGGCACGCCGATGTCAAGTAAGTTGTCACTCTGACAAATATGTTTGAAGGACACTCATACGTAACGAAGGAGATACACAACTAAAAAAAAATATGTCTTTGAGCTTACCGAACAAACGTTCACACACAGGTGTAGGTTGCATGTGAATGTATGAGAAAGATGAAGATATGTATATAAAGGGATACTGGTAGTCTTACTTTGACCCGTCAAGATCGGTGACTGCAACTACATATAATGTCACTGAGTATATTTGCCACCAATATCTGGGAGGTTAATAGTATTTTACTTCCTCTGGATTGAGCTTTCCACCTGACAGCTTGAAGTGACCTCCAATTGTTCAACATGACAATGCCACAGTGATGTATCCCATATCATCTTAACCCATTTTTTCATCCCATTTTGGAAACTTGTCCAAATTTTCAGTGTTATGTTCGTAAAATCATTGTACACAAAACATTTTTTCAAGAATTATGGGGTTCCAGAGAAAGACTCAAGAAGTAATTTGACTAATTCAGCTCCAGTGATCACCCGCACCTATAGCACTTTTAAACAGTACGTTCTCTGTTAATGCAGATTCTCTTTAGAAGTATTACGTTTTTGAGTAAGCATACCAAACGCAATGAGGTGTTGTTCTTCAACGTATGTTAGCTGGTATGTCGTTGATTTTATGTTGAAGCAGTAGCATATTATTTATGGGATTGGACTAAACTTAGCAAAACCGGATAAGGCATTTTCTAGGTCTAAAGAGACAACCCAGCTTTATCGACAATTGATAAATGACGATAGCTTTAGGTGCCACATATGTATAATAAGCTACAATGATATTGTGTATTTATGTTTTTTGGTAGACGTTCGAGAATGCGATAAAACCAAGAAGCTTTCACGCGCAAGTACGATTGTTGTATACGCCAAAAATTTCAAAAATGAGATATATCATTTTTAGGGTGTTACATGCCTGTCTGTTAGTCTGTGGGTCTGTTGGTCTGTCGATCTGTCTATCGGATTGTCCGCTAACCTTTGGCCCCTCTATAACTTTGAAAGTCAGTCCCGCATATGTAAAGTACTGTCATCCGCACCATTTTGACGGTATACTTACGCTATGTAATGTAATAGATTTCTCTAACGTGAATCGGTCTACAGTGTGATCATGCTCCCATTGGTGAAACAAATAGCTCATCGTAATCTGGGGTCATATGCTCAATTCATTGCAGCGAATCTCATTTGTATAGAAACTAGACCAAGACAATTCATGATAAATGCATCTACAGTAAGTCATTGGAACAAAAATTTCATGGGGGGAATCTCAGCAGGAGCAGATCGCGATGGCGGGAAACCCGGACCTCGCTTTGTCCCAGGGACACAAAATGTGTGATTTTGAATTGAATGTAATGGTGAGAGTTGTAGTGTCTCTATGTATTCCAGATGCTTCGAAACTGCAGTAAAATTGTTCGTTATTGAGCGTCATAACCAAACTCAAACCACCTTTGGCCTTCCCTGTCTCGGACCCTTCAGTACTCCAGCTGGAAGTTGATCATTCTAAGCGTGAAATTGATCTGAGAGTAACCTGAATGCAGAGTTGAAATGTAATAACGATTATTAAGTTATTGAAAGGAAACATTTCATCAATGAACCTCTCCTATGCTATAGTGACAGCAAGAAAATGTCAAGGTGATAAAAAAAGTGGCAATGCTCGTTCATACTCTATCTAAGCAAAAACTAACAATAACAAACTATCAGCTGGTGTGATGATTAAATCAGAAAATAAATACGTATGTCCCAAATGATGCCATAAGTATATTCAAACCAATGTGAATCCAAGTGATTTTAAACTCTACCTGAGTAGAGTAAAGAAAATTAAAAATGGTGTTACAATTCACTCTGTCCCAGAAACTGGGTTCAAAGCACACTCTACGTAAGGCTAAATTATTGAATCCCAGATTACTTGTTCGTAACGTTAAACTATTTGAAAAATGGTGTAATGACAGTTGAAAGTTCGTGATTCCACAAATTTGTTTCGGGAAGTATCTCCAGTGTTAAGGTCTACTCTGCTCTCTCGTGGGTTTTTATAAGTTGGATGAAGCAAGTGTACTGAGAGTGATCATCTCAGAGTTTTTCGTTGCTTTAAGTGCAGTGACTTAGGTCATATTGAGAAAAACTGTAAGTTAGATGTACAAATGATACTTTGAAACGCATATGCTGCTCCAAGCATAATGAGAAAATCAGAACTAAATTTAAAATAAACCACTTTGCCAATGATGTGAATACATGCTTCTTTCTTCAAAATCGCATTAATAATCTAATTCTAAAATCAACTACGATGTTAAATAAACTAGCGCAATTAACCGTTAGACCCCGTTTTTTCTAGTTTCATTGACTTTGTTCATCTTAACTACGAGCACTATCGGTATATCACCTTTAAGAGTTTGTAAACCAGAGGCAGTGGAAAATCTAAATTGTTCCAATGTTAAAAAATCTTCAGTCTCAATTAAAAATTCCGCAAAAAGTCGCTCTTGTCTGTTTTTTCTAGTCAAACTCCAGCAATCAAGTATCAAGTATGGATGGGAATCTAAAAACAGTGTCAGTTGGCCACCTTAATGTTCGTTCTATCCTTTTTAGTTTTTCTGATTTTGTGTTAAAGCTAAAGTTCCAGAGTTAATTTTTTATAGCTGTAATAGAGAAGGACGAGGGGGTGGCATTGGCATTTATATTAAATCTATCAAGTGAAAGTTCTTGCCTTTGGTATTGATACGAGCACAGTTGTGGAACGCACATGGATAGAGGTTATTTTTCATAAAGAAAATTTTTGCATTGCTGTCATATACAGATCTTTATTTAAGTCTTTTGGCGATTTTGTTAACGTGTGGGACTCCGTCCTGTCTTTGTGAATCTTTAAGTATGATAAAGTTTTAATACTAGGTGACATGAACTCAGATTCATCTAATGCCAACAATAGTCTTAATAAATGTTTTTCGTGTTATGATTTATGTCAAATGCTTAAAGAAACTATTCGTACCACGGAAAATTCGGCCACTCTGATTGATGCAGTTTTTTCAAATACTCAATATTTTTTTACGCAGACTGTGCTTTTGGATGCTGAGCCATCGACTTCTATGTTGCTTGCTGGAGATTACTGTCAGAAAAACTTAGCAAACCTTCATCACTCTCCATGATATTAAAAATTTTGATGAAAACGGATTTTGTGATGATTTTAGCTCAATTGTTTGGCATGACCTGATATTATTGAATAAAATCGATTGATTTCCTTACAAGGAATATTCTTAACGTATTTGATATACCCTTCAAAATTCATTCTGGCAGAACGTGATGCTGCACTTAATAAATATAAATCAGATCAAACACTATCAAACACGTTAAGCCTCAAAGTAAAACGTAATTTTGCTCTTGCGCAAAAAGAACTAAAATTGTTCCGTATCACCTCAATGACCCAAACGCTGTAAACGATTATTTTGCATTAGTGTTTCATTCTGCTCAGTCAGACGAAGCAACATTTAATTTTTATAATAATAAGTTCGGAAATCGGAGAATTTGCTTTATTTTGGATGAGCCTAGCACTATCAGAACTGTTGTCAGTGGCCAGTCAAATGCAAAGGGTATTGACGATATATCTCTCCCTATTATACCACCTTACTTGACTCATATTATCAATATGTCTCTAGAGAAGGGCTACCTTCATAAACCTTGAAGACAAGCACCAGTAAGGCCAATACTTAAGGTCAGCAGCTTTGCCGATTTTTTGGATCTTAGGACCATCAGTCTGTTGAGAGTTTTATTAAAGATTTTGGAGTAAATCATTTATTCGTAAAACTTAGATTTTTTGAAATCGAGTGAGATACTCCGTTACATCAGTCTGGGTTTAGAAAATTCTACAGTACTGCAGTTGCAGCTCCTCTTAATTTAGTGGACCCGTGTGTCGCCTTAGTATCACTGGATTTGACCATTGATATAATTGATCACGCACTAATGTGTGCCAAGCTGAAATTTTATGGTTTTTATAAAATAGCAGTGCAGTTTCTTAAATCATCCCTGACCAACGCGTCTCAGATTCTGGATTTTTGTGAAATGAGCACTTTATTACTTCTGACATGCCGCAGGCCTCAATTTTAGGCACTTTGCTATTTTTAATTCATGTAGTCAACATGCGGATGACAACAACTTTACTTCTTTTAACCAGAGGACTTGCAAAATGAACATTAACGAGGACATTGACCCTAATTGCACCTACTCATCCAATAAAAACCAATGCTTCAAAATTTTCAGCTGTGTTCTTTTGTCCAAACCATAGAACAGATGTAGTCAAATCTTCTTTAAATATATGGATTAATAATCAGAATCTTCCACTTTCTGAAAGTGTCAAGTGCCTAGGTGTGTTAATCGGTGAAAATGTGCGGCTTCATGCAGCATTGAATAACCTCTTACAAAGAACTTATATCCGTCTAGGAACCCTGTTTGCGAACAGAAATTTGACAAATTTGTGAGAAAAAAGTTGTGTGAATCTTTTGTGTTATCAATTTTTAATTATTACAATCTGGTTTATTATCCTTCTTTAGATGTTGCGAGTTCTAACAGAATATCTGTTGTACAAAATATCTGCATACGCTTCATATCTAGTTTGAGAAAATTTTACCATGCTTTGGATCCTTACCCTTTGTTAGATTGGTTAAAAACGACAGGTTTAGAAAAGTGCAATTACCTAACACTTATACGTAAGTTACTTATCTCTGAAACTCCAATTTTATTTACGTGAAAATCTAATGTTTAGATGCAATGTTCGTCATATACCTATCCGTAACACATCTTCGTTAACAATGCCCCTTCATAGTTCATGTCTTATTAAACGGTGGTTCTCATATAATGAGTGCATGTTGTACAATAGCTAAGATCAAAGAACAAAAAGCCTGCCTGGATACAGTTTTAGAAGACATTTAAAAGCTCTTCTGCTCAGTGATGCTCTTTCAAGGCGTTTTTCTCCATTGTACTTTTTTGCTAACATTTTTTTAGCTTGTGATCAGTTTCTTGCGCATTTTCCTCCTTTTAATTTATGTGTAGTACAGTTGTACTTTTCTACCATCTAATATTTTTATTCAGTGAATGGTTAAGTGTAGGAATAGCTGTTGTAGCTAAGCTTTGCCCTGAAGCTGCTTACAAACTTAATTATAGGTACTACATGTGTTATCTGTAATTTGCTTGTAATAAACGACTGTTTGTTATTATTATATAGAAACAAAAATTGCAGACTTGCTTATCTACTTGAACTATAATACTCGGGGTTTCTCTAGTTACAACATTTCAGTTTTGCCGAAACGTTTTGACTTCGAAAAAATCATACCATCATTATGAAAAGCAGTCGATTAGTTTTTGGATTGTGAGTAAAATAATTCTGAAGCTGTATAAATGACTTTAAGCTGGCAAACGTGTTTTGTAGTGCTGGTTGCCTATATTCATTCAGTTGCACCTTGTGGACATGACATTTGCTATAAATTCGAAAAGGCATAGAATGCTTATTACTGTTTCACTAAGATGTTTAATTCCAATCTAATTTTAGAGATATAATGCTGGGTTATCTCAGCATGAATTCTTAAATCAGACGGCGGAAAATATAAAGTTACGCACTATTTTAAAGAATTTGGTAAAATTAATTACCTACACGGTATCTAGTACCTGGTATAACAGGCTTATCATATGATACTTTGTCACTTAAATCACACAATTTTAGGCGAGAAGCTAGATTGGTATCATGGGTACCTCATCAAGGCACAGTTTTCACCAAAGGAAGCAAGAACGGTTTTGGTCCTACATTTTGCCTGTTTTTGCTAATGTTATCGGTGACGAGCATAAAAATGGTAGGTTGAAATTGTATAAAAATGATTGTTAAGAAGTATTCTTACCGTAGCGATGGAGTCATAAGCTATGTGACTGGTGTGTCTTGATATTCAAGAAATGTTCCTCCATAAGCAAAATAATGGCCGGGAAAGGCCTAATATTAACATAAATTAATATAGCTTGGAGTTGACATGCCAAGCAAAAATATCTCATTTTGATCACCCATTGACGAGTCGTGGTCTTATGACAAGACCAACTAAATGATTACCAAAAGCAATGGACAGAACAAACAACGTTATCCGAAAGTAGTTTGTGTTTTGGTAGAATGAATGAATTAAATGCATTTTTATTTTCATTCGAAATATCAGTTGATATTTGACGTTTTGTTTATACAATATTCTATCAGTATTCAATTATATTATGATAAGGTATGATTATATATGTCACTGAACCCAATCCTAAGTAACGTCTACGGCTATTTCTAACGTGAATCCTTCAACTAACACTAAGGCCTTAGTAGGATGTAGTTAACGGGGGATGTCACGTGATGTGTGCGAGAACAAGACATATGAACTCTTCAGTTCCACCATCGCAATCTAGTGTGTGGTACCTTCTCAATCAATGAAGGTCTTCCTATCGCTTGAAGAAATAATTTTTGAGTGACAATGCTATAAGAGCACGGAATCTTGAAAACTCAAGAACTGCACAGATTTCCATGTATACGGTCAGTTGCTGAACTAAAGACTTTCTGTCATCTATCTCCAAATGACTGCACCTATACCATACTCATTATCGCTAAAACGCATGACACGACGTTGTGCATAATCATGGAGCATGCAGATCCTATTCAGTCTGTGTTTATGCCGGATTTTTCCTAGTACGTCAAAGATGGTAGCAGTACGCCCGTAAGTGGTGATGGGACGCCTATATGGTAGATGTCCTTATTTGGACTCACAGAAGCGAACACTGATACTCAGAGATTTCGGGAAATTGTGGTTTCCTGCTGGAGGTACTACTCATAGGTGGAGTGTCAACTTTCTTTAATGGGTTATTGTAAATGAGTGAACGTGACCACTAGGCTCACAAATTAATTTGCCAAATTTTTTTGTGCTTGAGCCCATTTCTATTTATGACCACTAAGCTCACAAATTAGGCCACTGTTTTTCGCGTTGCCAACTGTTGAACCAAAAATAATAATAATACCAATATGCGATACGAGGGGGAACTTAAAAACACTACTAAATATTTATGTTATTTAAAGAATAAAAAAGATGCTTTCTTTATAAGAGTAATATGAACGTATTTCTGCCAAGCCCATTAATTTTTAAAAATATTTTTTATGTTTGAGCCCATTTCTGGGTATTTCATTTGTTCTGACAAACATTTAGGATACTGAGGTAAATATCACAGTATGAGTATTTACTGTGAGTACGTCAGTAATTATTGATGGTTAGATGTAAATCCACTGATTCTGGTGGAATAAAAAGTAAATTATGATGGTACGGATCATATTTAGGGCTACCATCCGTCCGAGATTGCCCGGTTTTGGCTTAGTTTAGAGAGCGTCCAGGGGCTTTCTGGATGGTTCTCCTACTTTTGGCACAGGAAATATCAAGGTCATTTAATAATAACCGAGAGGAACATAAACAGGAAGAAGAAATGAATGTTTAACGAGAAACGTCTATTTAATTTATGAAATGAAAATCGCGGATAATTTTAAGTTCAAGTATATCCTTGCCAATGAATCTAATGACCTCTATCGTGGTTTTAAGATCAGATAAGTCTTCAAGTAAACTCCTCGCTTTTAGTGGAGGATATAGAAAACACAATAGTGTAATTAATTTAGCATTACAATGTTGAGACCAATCTCCTTCACACTAATACAAAACGAATGACTTATACTTTACACTACTTCCATGCGAGCGGAGGCGCGGGTTGAGGCTAGCTTTGATTATAAAAAAATTGTTGGTTGTCCGGGGAAAAATATCAGTTTCACCTTAGTGCAGTTTTTGAAGGTTTTGTCCGGAGTCGGTAATTTAGGTTATGGCAGCAATAATCACAGTGAAATTTGTTCGTGTAATCGAGTTTAGTATCCCTACTCTCCACAAATGGGCAATTTGGAAGGCATTCATGAAACTTTAATTTGTCAACAATCAAATCTACGTTACTTAGTAGACAGGCACAATTCATCATATGATAAATTTCAGAAGATATATTATTTTACAGTGAGCGTAACAGCAGCCTTGTTAAAATATAAAAAACGTAAGAAATTAAACATTATCATTATCGATTAAGCTATAAGTAAAGTAGTAAGAACAATCGCAAGGTCGCGGTCGAACTTTTCACTTCAATGCCGCGCGAAAATACGAAAATGAACTTAGCTCAGTAGCGCGGTGTCCCGCTAGTTTATTTTGGTTTCAGTTCTAACGACTGACGAATCTCGTCGGGATACTCGCTCAGATAATAGCGCTTTGCTGTAAATATTATATAATTCGTGCAAATTTTAGTCAGTTATGGTGAGTAAGATAACATTTGCTATTGCAATAATTTTGCGTTGGAGTGTCGATGTTTTTCTGGTGTTGTTTAAGGTTGCGTAAAATATTTGATATGAGTGTCATTCATGCGATATTTTATCACAGATTGTCAAAGACGAGCGTAAACATACTATTGTTTCAAAGATAAAACCTACAATCAAATTGCAAGTGTATTTCTTCAAAGTATAATTTTGTTCAAGAGCCTCAAAAAATAGAATATTTTGGTACATTGCTTAAGCCTGAATAATGTAATTATCTAGAAAAATTGTGTGTAGAAAAGACACTTGCTGATTTACTATCCAGAGCACAACTTTTTGCACCAATGTGAATGGTGTCTATAGTGTTTGTTTGATAAAGTCACTTTAAACTTACCGTTGTCCTCACAGATTATTGGTACTGCATCCGCACCATGCACTTCAAGCAAAAAGATTTTCTGCACCAATTTGAATGGTGTCCTTGGTATTTGTTTGACAATTGTCACTTTAAGCTTAGCTTTGTCCTCACAGATTAATGGTGCTGCATCGACACTATGCACTTCAAGCAAAAACATTTAAACGCGCATTTGCACCTGATAAATTGATGTTGTGTCTAATACGTTTGCCTGGATTTATTAAAGAATTCAGCTTTTGAGTAATGAATTTAATAATAATTGATGACAAGTGAATAAAGGTGTCAAGTAACAAAATCATTGTATGAAGAAGATTGTCTTTAAACATATTTATTGGGACTTTTTACTTTATTGAAATTTTAGATATTTAGCTTAATTAGTTTGTTGTTATCTTGTTTTTGCCACCAAATAATCACAGAATGAAAGAATCACGCCTTGAGGTTCGTTGAATGCAAAAAGAGCAGTATTGTGACACCTTTATACACTAGTGTCTTCAATTGTCTGTTCTGTTGTCTATCCGTTTCTAAACATCTTCCTTTTATAGTACGTCCATAATATGTTCAAGATTGGTTAGTTACGTTTTCTAAATGATTCCAATAGGCTGGACATTTATTGTGATATTTTACCAGATGTGTAAATGACGTTATAATAATGTTTCCCTTTGCTATCTCCAAATACTTCGACTATCTTTTCAGTTTTTGGTAACGATCATGGCGTATGATACTAAGCTGAAATTTAACTAGCACTACCAATCATTGATTCCCGCTTGCACCGCCTTTCTCAAATTCATCACTCAGCAAAGGTAGTCCGAATGTTAAGGTTAACGTCAAATTGTCTTTTCATTACACCACTCCGATTTGGTGAAAACTTCGCTAAATTAAAGTTACATCTGACAATAGTGTATCTGTTGGCACTTTTTGGAAAAACTACATCTGCAACTTCAAATCAGTTAGTTGAATTGGTTGTATGTTTTTGTTTACTCCAAAGTTGTACGAATAAAAAGGCAAACCAAGTGATATAATCTCATGTACCTGTTTAAAAACATTCTAAAGTATTGGCATACCTGGGAGGCATACAAATAAACCGGTGAAATACATCTCGCTTCATAGCCAAACCCGATTTTTTTGTATCTGTTGAGCAGCTACAAAAATTATTATGCAAGCTTTTTAGAGCTTCATGAATGACTTAGCCGAGAGTTCCATACCCGCAGCTTCTATTTGCCCAGAACTTGAGAGACAGAGACCACTAGGTAAAATCCTAAAAATGTCAAACTAATAAATAATAATAAGTTATAAAACCCACCTTGAGCAGAGACATTTTTGACGTCGTTCAAATCTCTGTTTCATTCAAGTTTTAAGTGGACCTGGTGCAACAAAAATATGGAAGATAATGTTTCGCTTAGTACAAAGTTGACCATAGCAAGTCGGTGTATCCGGAGTTGAAGCTGGATCAGTTGGGACACCCAACTCCACTCCACTATCTGGTATCTCAGACAAGTGCTGCTGGTGCCACTGATGTTGGTACCACTACAGGTGATGCTGCTGGCCCTGTGATGCTGCACCACTATCCGTGAGACCAGCAGCACGCATCAAAGGATTGAGAGGCAGTGGAGTGGTGGGGGTAGCAACTGACCACGCTTATACTTACCGTGACGTAGCTTTACTCATTTGCTTTATACAGGGTATCAATTTGAAAACTTCCCACCACGGATTTTTCGAAAACCACTGATTAGAAAAAACCGCCGAGACACGACAAAAGATTTGTCAGAGGGGACAAGCTTTTAAGCAAAACCTACTTCGCCCCCTTTCACCCTCTGCCAGTATCATCGAAATTTTAAATGACAAGGGGTATCAAGTAAAAGCTTGTTTGAAAGGTCTTTCGAAGTCCTTTATTTTGACGTTCGATTTTTCAAAATCAATCGATTAGTTTTCAAGAAAATTGGAAAAATCTTTACTTATCTTAATTTGTTCAGATAGAAAACAAGAACTCACAAAAATGTCACTTTTTATTTCAATAAGTGTTCAAAATGTTGCCCGTTATTGGCCAATCAATGATATAGGCGATGTTCAAATTCCGGACGGACATTTTCAAAAACGTGTTGTGGGATATCATTGCAGCTTTCGATGATACGTTGACGGAGTCATCCAAACTTTCAGGTTTGGGAATAAACATAATAGATTTCAAATGGCTCCATTGAAAAAAGTCTAATGGCGTCAAATCAGGAGACCTAGCAGGCCATTCTATAGCCCTCTTCGCCCTAACAATTTATCTGGAAACTCGTCGTCTAGCCTTTGCCGAACCGGAAGAACATAGTGAGGAGGAGGGTTGTCTTGCTGGTTTCCATCCTCTTCGATTTGGTTTTGAATGGTTTCAGTGATAAGCGGATTGGTGGTATTTTCCAACATATCCAAATAAATGTCCCCATTCAAATTTCTATTAATAAACGATGGCCCAATGACTTTGTTCTCTAAAATGCCTGCCCATACATTAATTTTTTGGGGGTACTTTGTATGCCCTTCTACAAAATCCTGAGGATCTTCATTGCTCCAATGCCTGCAGTTATGGTTATTAACAAATGCATTTAGATAAAATGTGCATTCATCATTGAAGCTGATACCATCTTCGGCCAACTCTTGCAATATTTTCATTTTGAATGGATGAAATGTATGGGGTTAGTAGGATTTATTTCAAAATGACGCGAAACTTCAACTTAGCGGCTTCAATAAGGTACAAAACATACCTATGCGAAGTTATATTCCCCGGATGTCTGGCGTTAAACGTGACGGCAGTTTGCCGAGCACATTGATTTTGGGAACTCTTTCGGCTAGTATGTAAACCATTTTGGAAGTAAGATCTCAATCAATAAATTAATTTTCAGTATCCCAAGATTGTCACAAAGGTATGCAACTCTCAGCAAGTTAAATTCTTTCTTTCCGTTAGCAACAAATAACTAAGCAGGTATATCAATAAATAGTCCGTCCAGGATATCCGTGTTGATGAAAAGAATGCAGAAAAAAATCGGGTTGTTATTTGGTTGTTGCCAGGTCTAATCTTCCGAAATGGTGTTTGTTTGTTTGTTTTAAGCAGTTAGCTACAAATGTGTACATTGGCACGTCAAAAATAAAATAAATAATTACAAATGATGAATCCAGTGTAAAATATAAATAAAAATAAATGGTACACAAGTATATATTTCAAAAAATACGTTAAATATCCTAAAACTTTAAAAAGGAAAAAATTACAAACACAATTAGAGAAGGAAAGAGGAGATATTAGTTGAGATTAAAAAGTCATTCAAAAAACTCTCTCTCAGTTATAATATGCTTCAGTCAGAAGCAGTTCAGTAACTTTTTTCTTGTAAAAACAATTACAATGCAATTGAAGATGGGCGAAGTTTCGAATTTGGATGTTCTGTGCATTGGTGTTTGTAATAAATTGCGATGACTCGTGGTTAGATTATGGCGCGTAGTATAGACATCAAATCCTTCCCAGTGCAACCTAATGTACAACATAAGACACTGTAATATGTAAATACATGGTACAGTCAATAAACTCTCTCAGATATATGTGAACTTACAAGACTCTCTCGGGGTAAGATTAAACAGTAGTCGGATAATTCGCTTCTGAGAGATGTATGTTGTTGTGTGTTGTTTATATTGGTAGTTTCCGTTTTAAATTATAAACGAATTCTAGATTTGGCAAACCCTAACGGGCAACATTTTGAACACTTATTGAAATAAAAAGTGATATTTTCGGGTGTCTTTGTTTTTTATTTGAACAAATTAAGATAAATAAAGATTTTTCTAATTTTCCCGAAAACGAACCGACTGATTTTGAAAAATCAAACGTCAAAATACATTGACATTGAAAGACCTTTCAAACAAGCTGCTATTCGATACCCCTCTTTATTTAAAATTTTTAAGGAATGGCCCTGGGGACCGGAGGGTGAAAGGGAGCGAAGAAGTTTTTGGTTGAAACGTTGTCCCCCTTGAAAAATCTTTTGACGTGTCTCGGCGTCTTTTCTTTTATTCAGTGGTTTTCGATAAATCCGTGGTGGGAAGTTTTAAAATGAACGCCCTGTATATAGTACTCGCATGTTTCTTGCTTTTGTCATATATATCTGTTGCACGGCATAGCTTCTTAAATAATGTTTTATCAAAAACAACAAAATTGAACCCTGTGCCAAAAAGTGGTAGATTTGAATGTTCGAGTTCAGTCAGAAGAAAACAAATAAAAATATCGGCATTATATAACACAACAGAACAACAGAAATTTATAACTTGGAGCATACCCAAATAGATTAAATTAAGTCTACCGAGACATTTAACAAACATTCGCAATTTAATCGTATAATAACACCTTCACCTAATGTACAAACATTTTCCCAATATATTTTTGACCTCTTTGCCACATGGATGCCTGGATGCGATCAACAGGTGGGACGCAAGAATCAAAAGCCTGGTAGATCTACCTTTTAACATTTTTATGTATGGCCGGGCGATAAAGTGCACTGAATAGGTTTTCTGAGCGTTATATCCATCAGCCTACGTTTTTTTTTTATGTATCGGTAGCACCTTTAGTTTCAAGTGTTCATACTGATCAATATTTTATTTCGTTATCTCTGCATGTTTGATGTTGTACCTGGTTTCTTCGGTTTTTTTCTTGATTGCTCGTCCTCAAAGGGACTTCACCTTGTAAGTAGTTTTTTCATTGATACAGTAATGGCTTTACCGGACATTGAATATTTTTTGTAGTATATCCTGATGAAGAAATAGAACAATTTCGAAGGCTTAAATTAACCAGAATCACTTCCTTTCTGGACTAAATTCAATTGCATCTTCGAGAACCTGAACTTTTTTTCAAATTACCATTATGCTCATCGGTCATAGAACTCTTCTTATTTAATTGTTACCAGGCTAGGGCATCTGGCTCATTGTCATAGTACGGCCAATTTATTCATCTTCATATTCACTCTTAGACAAAACGATCTTTTTACAATATAGCGCCTTGCTTAATCAGCGCTTCTGTGGTTTAACCCTTACTGAGCCGAAGAATGTCGTTTTTGATAAGCGTGAGTATATACCTCAAAATCATATGTAATTGGAGTACATGCTCTCAAGATTCCCAGTAAAAAACGGTAGATGTTACAGCATTGTTCCTTGGACGTTATATTAAAATTATATTTTTCCAGGCTCCAATCCCAGACCTGAAGGTGCCAGTCATATGGGTGCTGGGAGGACCTGGATCTGGAAAAGGAACCCAATGTGACAGAATCGTAGCCAAGTATGGATTTACACATCTGTCATCTGGCGACCTTCTTAGAGCAGAGGTAAGCTTTTACTCATGTTAAGACAGATACCCTGCTTTGCGGAATAATTGTAAAGTTTGGTTTTATTGATGCGAGTTAGTCAAGAGGCTATCCGCAAACTTACATTGTCTATGGCATATGAAAAGCTGTTTGACCACAATAAAAGTACACATAATGTGAAAACATCTATTTTAGAGAATTAATAAACAAATAAAGAGGAAGAATAAATATGCTTTGTGGATTCGAACGTGCGACCTGTGACACTTTCTCCTGTTATAAACATTTAGGATAATCTTAAAAACCATAGAAGATACAATGCTGAAACTTTAAGTAATGTATTTAAGAATAATACCGAGCATTTTGCCTATTTTTTCAAAGGCTCGATTCCCTACAATTGCTTGATATTTGTGTAATTCTTTTCGCTTTCTAAAGTTTGCTTTCGAACACTTTGAACTGGCAATCGTTTTAATGATTCAAAGTTTCGAAAACAAACGTATACTACAAGTATATTACAACTTTTAAAAAAAAAGGTCCAGCAAGTTATATTTCTTCGAAAAGAAACTGGATTTCGTGACCTACTTGTTTGACAAAGTCATGCAGCCATAAATAATATAGCCATGTAGCACATGCTACATACTAACTAGGCTAAGCTAAGTTTGAAATATAATTGTGTATTCAGTTTGCGTGCTTTATGAACAGTTCAGTGCATTTCAGTACGAAATTATGTTTTCTATAAACTTCAAGGCTCATGTGTGACCGTGTAAAAATTTCAGCTCTAAATATATACACAAGAATACAAGGAATCTTGAAAAAAATGTTTTTTCTTCGAAACAAAAAGTGATAGATATCCGCGCATCTATTGATTTACGAAATGCTTGAATTTGTTCGTAAGACAAACACCCTTTGTTTTTCGCATAAAAATTACATTCATCTTCCGAAATGTTTTGTGATTCATAACGGCAAGGTAAACTTATGTATTTTGCTACAAAGTAGCCTTTAAACGAACCTTGTAGCAATAGCTCAATAAACTAAGTGATAGCCGGCAGATAATTAGAAATTCTTAAAAATGACAAATCAACTCAAATTTTGTTGTGGTTATTTAGAAGTATAAAAGATAGATATTTGGGCAATTTCAAGTATCTGTGTGACATTATCGTCGCATTACCAACAAGCGCCAAAACGTACATGTTGAATACGTTTTCGGTCATAATTTTGTAGCTATTAGTCGGATTATGTTATGTGTGGTCTGATTTTCTAAAGCTCGTGAATACCTAAAAATCTTAAGCTGCGTACAGATCATGATTCCAACGCAAGCCAAGCAACATGTGATTACAGATTTGGAGGTGTTCGAATCGGTCTATACGGTGCAAGCCGACATAAGACAACAGTTTCCAAGGTCGGCGTTGGCGTTCGATTGTGTTCGCTCCTTGGTCGGTACATCGAAGGGAGGTTTGATTTGGTCTGAGCAGGATTTGTTGCGCTCCTAGTATTTAGTCGCTTGTCTGCATTCGATAAGTGGAGACTCGTCGCTCGACATTAGCACCGAACTTAACCCAACGCGGTCCAACTCGAAACTACATATAGGTGTAGACGAGCGCATTTCAATACCTCCCAGCAACAAACACCGGCGTCACATGTGCTTGCATTCATTTGCTTAGCGTTGGTTTTCGGTCTGTACGCGGCTTTAGGTGAGGAGTTTTTTCGTTATTGCCAACACTTTCGATTGAATCTCACCTTATTCTTTGCTGTTAAATAAAAGGTTTTTAAGTACCCCCTTGAATAACTGTATCAATAAATCCAAACTTTACAATTATTGTGGGAAAACTTGCTAATATGATTAGACTATAAGTTCATGTAGAGTCTTAGGATTGCTTAAAGAAAAACTAATTAATTCGTAATAAATCAGCTTTAATATCTATAAAATTTTATTCAATAATGTGTGTTATTGCTGCAGTATACAGGGTGTCCCAAAAGTATGGACACAGTCAAATATCTCGTAAACTAAGGATGCTAGAAAGAAGATTGGATATACAAATTTTAGGAAATCAACGACGTTGACAATTATCTTGAGAGTCATATAATTCCAGATGTAATTTTAGTGCCTGTTATATTCATACTGTTGGAAAGGAATTTTTTCTCTCTCTGCTTTTGCAATAAAAATGAGGTTCCCATTTGAAAAAATCAATTGTCCTAGAAATGACCTTTAAGGTGAATGTTAACGTTCAGTCCACGGTCACCATTACATAAGCCATTTGATTTCATGAAACTTTTGTGATTAATCTTATTTCTAGCACTCTTAGTTTCCGAGATATTTGGGTGTGGCCATACTTTTGGGATACCCTGTATAGTTCAATAGCTTATGACATCTCCAAATAAGAAAATGGAGGTAACACCTGGCAGTAATTTCATCATATATGTGAATTCATTCCTGATTTTTAATAACAATAATAATAAAACGTCTTTATTGGGGAATAGGATGTTTTTGAGGATTCGAAATACGATTATAATTCTATATTTTTTAGCATAAAATAAACAAGGCGCTAGTTACAACCTTTAGATCCTATTTCAGTATTAATCCGCAGATCAAAATTGGCCAATCAGAAAGTGTTACTGAATTAATGAATCTACTGAACATCATAAAGTTCTTCTACAGTATCTCTCAAGCTAGCGAAAAAGTATACGACTTCTGTAAAAAGGGTCTCTAAGTTCCAGATTGAATGATGAAGTTCGTTATAAATCACCTGGTTTTGCTGTAAAATTTGTTTTTTCATTTGGTAGATTTCTAATTCATCAAATTTTATTCGAGGTTTTACGATCAAATTTGGCTTCTTTATACCTCAGCTTTATTGGTATTTATTACTGAAAACTCATAAAGGTATTTTATGTTAATTGCGATTGAGCAACACCTTTATGAAATGCATTCCAGTATTGTATCACTCAGCCAAACGGCTGGCTTATACACAGACCGTTAAAAATAGAATACTCGTATACTAAAGGAATTCTATTTTCCTTAAGTCAATATGCCTGAATTCGTGCCTATGTATAATATGTATGAACATGTACAACCAAGCAAGTAGTAAGGTACTATCCTTGTCCTTTTGCATCTTGTTCAGCATCATTCCCTTTACTATTGGTTGAATATCAACCAATCGGCCCTTGCTCTGGTAGTCAAACCATCTACTTCGTTCGGAGTGATGATTAGGGATATCTTCCTCTATATAAGTATATTCTGTATATTCTACTATACGCAGTTCACGTACAATCTCTATCTTCTCTCAAACATGCCCTGTGCGCTCCCGCTCCCTTGTTGTTCAAAATTTTAATATTTGGAATCAGACTTAGAGTCTATACACCATGGCCAGTTGTATACCATCTCTTCTGCTATTTGACATTAAGGTTCTGCCTTCAGTGCCATTTTTATAGATAGCGCATGTCTTCTTAGCTAATTAATTGGCGGGAAACCAGCCACCACCAGTAGCACATTGGTCGAGACCTCAGAGAGAACACAGCCAATGAGTCTGCAGTGTTGTTAAACATTCATAGCTATATTCCTCCATCCAACACTGGTAGAATGTAGAGACATAAATATCTTAAAAAGGATTTGCTCAATCGAGATGAATGCTGAAAATCTTTATGTACCTACTTGAAAATTATCACACTCATAATTTTCAAAAATATTGGAATAATGTATGTTTTCCATTCTTCTTAATAAGGTAGCCAGCGGGTCAGCAAGAGGCAAAGAACTCACGGCCATCATGGAGCGTGGAGAGCTAGTGCCTGTTGAGGTCGTGCTGGAGTTACTCAAAGAAGCAATAATCAAAGCGCTGCCAACCTCAACAGGATTTCTTATTGACGGTTACCCCAGGGAAAAGGAACAAGGGATTCTTTTCGAGAAAAACGTCGCTCCCGTGAACTTGGTGCTGTACTTTGAGGCCTCAGATGAAACGCTGGTGAAAAGGTACGTGCTCTTTCGCCTACTGTCATTTACCTTTTGATAAATTAAAGATCCAAATCTAATTCAAAATTCATTCATTTTTAAATGGTTCCAGAATGAATAAAGTACTCTCTCATACATATACTCTCTCAGTTAAAATGAAACAAAGTTCCAAGATCACTATTCCTCACTAAATTTTGTATCTTCTTTAGTTATTGTTAGTAAAAATAGTCCAAATCAAAACCTCAAAATGGAAGGTATCATAGTTAATAATAATCCGGCTTTTCTTATACGAAGTATAAAAAGGCGAACTGTCGCTATAAAGACGTTTTTCAACTTATCCCAGCAATTTTGTTTCGTCTGTTGCTTAGAAACAAAAATGCTAAACCTTCTACCGAATTTATTGTTCTACTTAGTACGTCACTTTATGTTATATGGAATATATGTGTCTGTCCCGTCTATAACTTGGAAAGTACATACGTCTCGGATTTTGATGAAGCTTTCTCAGAAGATTACTGGTTTCCCAAGGACGAGAAAACTTTATAGTTTTTGAGTATCGATCCAGTGGCGCCGAAGCCATAAAAGAAACATGAAAAGAAAAACGACCAAACTTCGTTTTTGACGTTTTAAAAGATCCTGATCATTGTCAGAAAATTTGCAGAGGTTAAAAATTTGTTGTTGAGGGTAGTAGGGAGCGCGGAAGAGCATATGTCATTTTTTTAGTGCTAGCACCTACGTTAGTACGTTTCTGACCCCGGTTACATTTGCCCTTGAAACTTCGATGATAGAAATGATTTTCGGTACACGCATGCCGGAGAACTCAATGAGCGTATCTTGTCGTTTGATTGGAATGTTGAGGGATAACAGCGATAATGCGTGCAGTGTATGCAACGCCGTGCTGGCAGCCACGTTGCTGCATGGTCGGTATTGTCGGTAAGGCAGTAAGCTAGATCGTAATGTTGTCAAATCAGTGATGACTCTGGATTAACTCTAAGGGCTTGTTTGACTAACATGGTCCTTTTGTTTTCTTTGTTGTACGTAGCCAAGTTTTCTTACGAGGGGCCAGCTTGTGCCGACTGTTCCTTTAAGGATTGATGACAGCATTGCGTAGGAAGTACAAAGTAACCTATTTGACGGCATTTTTTGTGACTCACAACTTACATCAAATAAGGTGGCGGCACCAACCGAGAGGACTCAAAAATGAGTTAGTTTGTTGCTCAAAATATATGAAAGTCGTCGTGAAATTGGTTCCGTATACGAATGTAGTAGAGCTGTTTAGCTTCCGCACTGAGAATATCGTCTTATGATTTGACCAAATGAATTCGCCAATTTCATATATTCTCTGCAACATGCTTGGTTGGTGCTCGCCGCCCTCAATGTTATACTCCAGAGGTATTTTGGAACCCAATATTATACTAATCAGATAAGAGCATATTTTAGATGAAAACTTTTTTTGCATAGGCTAATGGGTAGAGCTCTAACCTCAGGAAGAGTGGATGACAACGAAGAAACTATCAAGAAGAGGTTGCATACCTTCAATACACACAACGATCAAGTAATTGCACAGTATCCTGATAAACTTAAGAAGGTAAGGTCCCAAAAACTTAATAACACATGGTGCTTGTACGAAAAAAATACGACTTATCTCCTAGCTATCTTTAAAAGCATTTTTATACGAGGGTCGTCCTTTTTCAGTTTTTTTTATTTTTCATCTGTTTGGGCAATGTTCTCCTCAAGCCACTTTTTCAAGTTCGGTAATAAAAGATGTAACTGGAGCCAAGTCCGGTGAATACGGTGCGTGATGTAATAGTTCGTACTTCCAGTTCATCATTGTGGCCATGGAAACTGCATAGGTATCTACCCAGCAATTGTTTTGATGGAACAGGATAATTCTGTTTGAAATTAAGACGCCTTTTCTCGAATTCTTCAGTCAACCGATCTAGTAACAACACAATATTCTCGAACAGTTATACTCAAGCTTAAACGATAAATAGATTCCAATTGCTCTTTTTGCGACTTTTTCAAAGCTTCTCATAGTATAAATTATGACATACTATTGAAAAAATCAAACAAATATGATTGTTCTGAAACTTCAGTCAATTGGTATATTCAAATAATCGATCTTAAATTGTAAGAGTATCAATATATTATACTTCAAATAAATTAAATATAATAGCAGAGGTGTAGGCCAAGGATCATTACTAGATCCTATCATACTTTTAGTTTGCATTAACGTTTTAATAAATTTAAAAATAAATGGTAAGTTCGTAGTTTCTGCTGGCGAAATCACAATATTTTGGTAACGCTGAGATATAAATGATGTGCTAAGAATTACTTAACTTCCAAAGTAAGATCCTTGATACACAAAAAAGGCACTATCAAATTTTTAGAACTGACCATTGATTATAAATTAAATTTTATTAATCATGTAGACCAATTGCTTATGCAATTAGCCAGTATTTCCTTTACTATAAGAACAATTAGCTACAAAGTAGAGAAAAGCACAGCCTTGAGCAGTCACTTTGATTTATTTGAGATATAGCATTTCCTGTCGGTATGTATCTTCCCGAAATTGTTTGAAAAAGTGCTTATTCAAAAACAAACTATTAGATATATAACTAAAAGCAATCCTGGGGCTACAAGCAGGCCTTTATTTTTAAATCTCAAAATAATGACTGTCGTGTCATTGTTTATTTTTGGAACAGCAACTCCTATTTTTGAAAATAAATGTTTGAATCATCAAATATGTTACGGTATTAGACGAAAACAAATTAGTAATACCTAAATCAATACTGGTGAAAGACTCAATCATTTATAATGGTCTGAACATTTACTTGTGCCTCCGTGATGATATCAAAATCAAAAGAATCAACAATTTAAGGATAATTCGCTGTGAACATGAAAAGTTTCTTATTTGTAAACCATATTAGACCATATGTGAGTTTCAAAAAATTTACTATTTTGATTGCTGATTTGTCACTGTAGTGTAAAAGTTTAGTCACGTTCCATCGGCAGTGACCAGGATTGCAACAAACCGTCAGACACCTTTAGTTCACCATATGATTGCGTCTTTCATGCAAAATTGGAAAGACTGATCTTTGTGATATGCCTTCGATCTGAACTATTCGTCGATCGCTTAAAATGACGCTCTGTCAAACGCTTCGGGTACGAGGTCACTTCCACTGGACGTCAAGTTCGTTTAAGAAATTGCAACAAATAGCAGGAGCACATTGCTTGTTTGTTTGTCGAAAACTTATTAAGCATTAATGCTACAATGTCAATTTTGTATAATGATTCGGTTACATATTTTTTCTCAATTCATTTTCTGTAAGTTTACATTCTTGACTATTAAAATTACATCATTATGCATTTTGATTATTCATAAACTGATGTTTTAATTTCACATTAAAAATTTTTAAATTCGAACACTTTAATATCATTATTCAATTTATTAAATTTAAATACTCCCTTTTGAAATATAGATTTACCAGTTATGCTACTATTACAAGTTTGCAGATGAAAATCTATACTGCCCCTAGTTTCGTTGATATGATAATAACTATCTAATTTTGTGAAGTTTTATAAATGTGGTGGTAATAAGTGATTTTTTAATGTGAATATGAAAATGAGAACTAAATAATATATGAAATTTATCACATTCAACCACTGTAGTTCTTCTAACATAGACTTAATCCTAGCATATGTGTTTTTATTTAAAATGATTCTCATAGCTTTATTTTGTAGAATTTTTAATTATTATTAAAATATGTTTTCATTTGCTGTAAACAAGATGGTTGACAATATAAAAAATGGGGAAGAATTATAGTGTTATACACAATTTTTTTGGTATACATACTAAGATTATGGGAAACTCTAAAGAAGTAATTTATTTCTTTTTAATTTTTGAAATAATGCTTAATGCTCGTGAAGCAGTAGTTTACTATCCACATATATACCAAGATATTTAAATGTTTCGACTACTTCAATTTGTTCTTCATTGTTTTATTAGTGTTTAATTTAAGCTTATTGACATTTAACCAATTCATGATTTTTTTTAATATCACTATTTAACAGTTCTAAAGCAGTGTCCAAATGCTTATGTGCTATATATATATCAATGTATCGTCCGCAAATATTTGAATTTCGCTATGAATGTGAGATTGAGATTATATTGAGATCAAATGTGCCATGAACTTCATCTATTTGATCTATTCGGTGTGAAATCTTTTAAACGCAAGCAATTAGTTCTCCATCGTTACTCAGTTTTCCATTTTTCTACATAAACAAAATTTTCTTTTTTAATCGGCAATAAAAATGAAATCAGATGACGGATATAACTAAAATTTTGAATGCTGTCTAGTGAGTGATAATGCTTCCTAAAAAGCATGATTCTCGTAAGTAACGCCGATTATTGGATTTTCTAAGGACATAAAAATCCTCGTTGTGTGGTTTAGCTTTGGAGACCTTTTTGAAAAAGTTCAGAATCATTTTGAATCTGAAACAACTTGTATACGAAAATTTCTGTGTAGGGAGTACAGATTCAACCTGCTTGAGTTGATTTTTTTTTGTTTCAGATAAATGCAGAAAGGTCGCCAGATGAGATATTCAACGATGTGACAAGCTACCTAGATCCTCTAGTCAAATAAAAATGTTAGCATAAAACATTAAGCACACCAAAAAAAAAACAGATACTATTAAATTGTTATTTATTTATTAGCAAATATGATTACACTGTTGAATCAAGCTGTTTTCTGATTTGTACCTAGCTTTGCTTTACCGCTGTGCTCATGGACTTTGCTCCTCCGAGTTCCGATACGTAACGTCTCTTCAGAAAAAAATTGTATGAATTTCCCTCAAATGTGAAACCAGCCTTCAAAAAGCAAAATTTCTTCAAAAAACGATTTTTAAAATTAACTATGTCAGTACCAAAGAGGGAATTTTACTTTCTTCGTCAACTGTGGAGTTGTAAACATGTCACTATGATGAAATTCTTACACAAGGTTACTTTTATGTCGAGGACCAAAAAGCTTTGTATTTTTTGAAAATCGATGTAGTGGTGGCGAATCGACGCGAAAAACTAAATCGCTCAAGCTTCGTCTTTTAACGTTTCAAAGCTCTTCTTATTTTTTCTGAAATTCCTTTGAGAGGTAATAAATTAGGAGTGCGGGGTTGCAAAGGCTGAGGGAGGGTACATATCAATTATTTGGCGCTTGATATCTTCGTATGCTTCTAGTCCCGGTAAATCTACGTGCCTATGTCACACAGATTCTTCCGTATATTTGGCCTCAAGATTTAAAGTGATGGAAACATTTTCCATACGCGCGTCACGAACGCAGCGAAGATAGACCAAACCCGTCGCATGATGACTGCCGTCAGAATCTACGCACCTAATTTATCCAGGAAACAAGCAACCAATCAGATCAGAGACGCGGGACCCAAAAAACGAATTATAGCAGAGGGAAAGACACACTACACTGTGACTTTAGGTGAACGCAGAATCCGTTGATGAAATTCTAGAGGATTCGTGTCAGCCCAGCAGCGCATGTTTTGTTTGTTGACGGATCGACTCAAATGAATATGGGCTTCATCACTGAAAAAAAAGCAATAGCATCCTCACAATCGACTTAGAGAACACGCTCGCACGCGTTCATAAGAGAACTAAAGTCTTGGCCAGAAAGTTTTTGCACAATTTCCATCTTGTAACGACGAAAATAAAGATCATCTCATCACAGAACGCAGAATGCTGTGGACCGGGGCTAAGCTAAAGCGATTGCCGGGTTGTAATCACAGGTCGAAAAGTAGGCATCAACGGCAAAAGCACGCTCATCACTGTTCCAATGCATGATGGTGACTGAACTGGGTTGGGACAAAGCTGTATATTCCCGCCTCTCGCACGAGGCCACTAGTGCCCTGCTGCCGCACTCTGTAGAAGCATGGTCTGGCTAATATGGTTCGAGTGATCACTAACCTACGTACTTTGGGTCGCTAAATCTGAGTCTGAAGAGGGTTCTGAATGATCCCGTTTATTGTATACATCTCATTATTCTCCAGATTGACAAAAACTCAGATTTAGCCTGTCACGTCTGGGCATTATTTTACGTACTGATTGGATGGGTTAATAAATTTTTATTAACGTATTCCATCTGAAAATAGACAGCCATTTACTGTATTTTGGCGCCCAAAAGGGGATATGAAGGTGCTAGTGCGATCTACGAGAGAGTAGTAGAAGACAAAAATTAATTTAGAAGAAATGGCTTGGCTTTGCGATTGTCTTATAGATGTCGTAAGGATTTTTTTAAATTCCCTTTTGACGCCTCTCTAACGTCTATTTCGATTGAGGAACTTGACGTAGAATACGGTAATAAATGTATTAACTCTACAGCCGACACGGTACGCCGGTAAAAATTCTACACTTTAAATTCAAAAAATCCTCGATGTATCGAGCTTTAATTTCACATCCTGTATCGCTGAAAACTTTCGCCTTGTACAATAAGAAACCCTACACATTATGTGAAATCCAATACGCCGTGAATAACAGCGACCTGTTCTGGTAAAAACGTATTCAGATCTATCTGTTTCATTTTCACATAAAATGCCTTACGATGAATCGACCCATTTGTTGAACCTTCGTGGAAACAACGAAAATGGTCTGTCTACCGTGTTTGCCATTATATGTATCTTGGATGTCTTTGGAGTTTACCCCGTGGTTACCCTGCCCAAGGCTATAATTGACTGTGGTAATGTATCTCGACTAGAGCTATTTAGATTATTATTTAAAGATACTACCTTGAAAAATAAAAATAAATATAAGTTAACAGTCTATATACATCATACAGACTAATCTGTAACTTGTGACGTGAAAAAAAAACGTTTCTCAGACAGTCCAGATGTTTTTCGCATAACCTTATTTAACGAATCTGCGTGTGGCCTGGCCCGAAACTGTGTTTCCAAAATTGTTTAAATATTTTTTTAACAGGAAATCTAAGTATAGCTATGTTCCGTCTGGCCATTTTTGAGCCATTCTGAACCAAAGAAGTTTTTATGAACTTCTCTCGGATGTCGTTAGGAAAAGAAAACTTTAATGTTGCCAAATTTCCTAAACATTTTTCAATCACGCATTAATAAACTCCCAAAATACTTGATGTGTATTGTTAGTGTGAACCTTTGTCTTTTAATTGTTAATCAAGCGAGCGCTTAATGTATATTATGCTAGAGTGCATGTCTTTCCGGGTCGAAAATGGCATATTTTCCAGTATTTGAAATATTAAATAGCTTATACTTATCTCGGAAACTATCAATTTCAGAGAAAAGCCCATTAAAGCTTTTTTTCAGAATGATCCCAAAAACCTGAACAAGCTTTGAAGCGAAGGAAAACAATATATGGAATATAGTCAAAAAAATGTTCAGATATTTTGAAGAAATTTTGTGCCTGGCTACATGCAGCTCTTTAGAAGAAGATTCTTTTGAATAACATGCAAAAATTCAAATCACAATATTTTTTATAGCGGATGCAAAGATACTTTCTGGACTAGAGACTAAAATATACGTCAAATAATGCGTTAGGTATGGACAGTCGCTAGTTATTTATAGTATTCGTGCAAACCAGCTCACTGAGAATTTGATATTGGTATTTCAGGCAAAGGATTAGAGGAGGGTTTTATATAAATTTCATGAGGTTCTGTTGCATAATGTTTCTGTTTTCAACAAGGGGACGTTTTCAAATTTATGTCATCGAAACTTTTCAGAAAGGTATCTTGTCCTAGATTATCAAGTTCTTATATCTCAGAAATTTGGATAGAGCCTCTCTTTCAACTTTTAACTTTGACAGCCCACATTAGATGTGTTCAAATGATATATCAGAATCCATCCCCCATTCCATTTAAAAAAATGTTCTCTGATGAAAAGCCACCATCTTAAAATCGTTTAATATCGATTTTACTCTGACAAATGAAAGACAAAGTCTTGTCATGACATACGATCACACTGATGCTAAATGTTCTTGGTGGTATCCATGGTTATTGTTTTTTGCCGTGCGTTCCATTGTTATCAGTATTAAGTTAGTCTTATTTTATTATAAGCTCAAATAGCTTCACAACGATTGAAGATAGGTATACACTTTATTATGGAAAATCTAAAAATTAACTAAAATGGGGTTTCCATTTAAAAACCTAAAGTGCAATGCAAATATCTTATGTATGGATCACCCTGTATTGTACGTCTATAGATGAAAAGACGTCCACCTAGAAATTAAAATTGATGTGTCCGAGCGTTTTTTCCAAAATATACCAGGAGAGTCATAAATCGGGGTGCAACCTTTTCGTTGTATGTACAAATGGGAGTACATTGAAGAAACCTGTATAGGGTACCTGTACCAAATAAAGCCACGTTAACGTTTGGATAGCTGTAGCTTCATAAATATTTACGAAACGATCTTGAAACTTTAAAGGTATTATTATAGAATGTAGAACTTTTCTTTTCATATAAAAAATATATATTTCCTGAAACACTACCGTTGGCCTTATTAGGAACCCAGGTATCCAAATAAGGCCGTGATCTCGTTTTTAATAAATCCACGCTCAAAATATAAAACAAGACTGTTGAATAAGCGAAGCTATATTTCTAATTAACAACAATAAATAATTCTTAAATCCAGATAGATTTCAAGTAGAAAAAAATCAACTTGTTTTTCCCTTCGCATTCATGACAAACAAATGATACCTTATCGCCTCTACACAAGCCTACATATTCCTCATAGACATATCTTAAGCATATTACACACAGATGCATGTCACGTATTTCATCCTTATGAATCCATACATATGAAATAGTACCAGTGTTTGCCTTTATTCCTCTGGAAACCATTTAACATGGCATTATTACGCACATCTAACAACTATTTACAAAATTGAAATCATTCAAACCCTGACAACAGCAAATAACTGCCTGCAATATGCCTTATAGACTTACCCATTTGAATTAACCAGAGATACCGCAAAAAGAAGCCGAAACATGCAAAAATGGAAACAAATTTAAAGCAGAAATTTTATAAGGCACATGTTGAAAACCGACTCTGTCCTACTGCGCCATCTAGCGCCGCTCCACAGCTGCTGAATTTATGGCTGCTAACTGCTCTCAATAAATTTGTAGAACTGCAGAAATTTCAAATTTTAAATGTTAATAGTTTCTGTAAAATCGACGCATGGCCTTATTAGATGCATGGCCTTATTTGGTACAGGTACCTTATTCAAGCTTGAACGACCCTTCAAGTTATTAAATTTCCAGGTTTCTATGGCATCTTACTTATCACATTAGTATGTTCAGCACAAATTTACACCGCAAATCTGCTGGGAAAATGTTGGATAATAGCAGAAAAGATCAACCCTAATATACAAAGGAAGAGTAGATACCCATATGCAGCTCTCGCCGAAACAACTTATGGTAAAAGGTTGGCGAATTTTGTGACACTTTTTTTGGATCTTACTGTTTTTGGAGCCAGTATACCTAATTTGATAGTAGGTTTGTAAATCAAATATAAAGTATAAAGGTCTTTGTCCATTATACCATAGCTTACTACCATAGGGGGTTCGAGTCAGAAGGCCTTGCACATTGTCTTTTTTTGTTTTTTTTTTTGTTTTTTATAATCCAATAAATTGGATTTTCTTTTCATTTGTAAGCTTGGATGATGAAAGCACATCAGATGGTTTGAACCATCTAGGTGCATCTTTCTGTCATCGGGATGTCTT